TTCTCTCCATGTTGCAGAGTCTTCTCATGTTTGTTTTATATCCTATGCCAGGGTTTTTAGTTGTATTTAGTGAGAGGGATGAAAAAGTATGTCTACTCCATATTTCATTTTAGAGCAAGCAGTGAATTATCGAGACAATCAACGGGATTTTTGCTTCCTTCTTTTTCATGTCCACATGTTCTAAATTTTCTACAATAGACATTTTTTCAGTGAGGAAATATACTTCATTTTGAAATGATTTACATTCACAATTGTATATGTAACATTACAGCCTTTCTGGTTATCATGAGCTCTTGTCATAAGGTTGGTGGAGTAAGAATGAGGTAATACCAGTGCATTATGCTAATACAGTGTCACTAGATGTGTTCTCCAAGAAGCAGATTTTGAGAAGTTTAGTGGGTAGGATGTTGATTAAGGCGTGTCCTTAAGACCAGGAAATGTGGAAGGGAAAGGACTGAAGCAGGAGTGCACAAAGGGAGAGGCTGAGTTGTGATGCACACTGCTCGGGGAGCTCTGCAACTAGAATGGCCCTTCAGAGTTGATCAGTCCTTGATGTGGGCTGCTCTGGGAAGAGGCTCACCTTGGGTGAGGCAACTCTCTTCAGCAGTTTTGTAACTCACTGCCAGCTTGAATAAAGAGTCCCTTGTAATTATCCTGGAGTGAATAACAACACTTCTAACCTTTGTAAAAATCATATATAAGCTCTAATGTAAAAATGCCTTTTGGGACTCCCTAAGGACAGCCTGAGTTGCTGCTGGGTCCCCAGTGGTGTACACTTCCTGAATTAAAAAAGTTTCTCACTCTTTCTAACTTGGAGTAAGTTCCGTTGGCTCGACTGCTCCAGGGCACGGACCCTGTTTGGATCACAAGCTAAAGGCTGTCTGTTAACAGAACTCCCAGCAGCTGGAGCCACAAGTCCTTTGTGGAAGGGCTGTCTGGTGGTGCATAAGCGTCAACCCCACATGGGTATTTCAAACGGAAGATATCTTTCAAAACATTCCTATCTATCTCTGTGTTTTGGAGATCCTGCATCTCAGAGATAGGAAGTGACTTAAGGTCACATGTTAGCAACTCCCTTCCCAAATATTTCTCCCCACAGCAACCACAGTGACCTTTCCAAAGTGTAAATCTGATCAATGTCAACGCCATTAGCTATCTTCTTATTTTGCTCTTGGCAAAAGATCCCCTTGTCATCTTTGTGCACGTGCATACTAGGAAACTCAGACTTTAAGCTTGCGACACCAGTTAGTAATCAATCAACCATCCAGTCCTCCACTAGCACTTGCAACAGCAGAAGCACTACCATAGTGAATATTGTTTGTCAGAAATATCGACCTTTATCTGATAGGGTATATTGCCTTGATGCCTCAATTGATATCCCTTTCAGGAGGAAGAGACCTGTTGCTTTTTTTGCATGCGTCTCTATTTTTATGCGTGCGTCTCTAGATGAACTGTCAAGATAGAAAGGGAAATGCAGAAAAAGTGCATGGCACAGCATGGCGTGGTGGGCAAGTCCCCGCCTCCACCTGACTTCAGTGGCATTTGTGTAAGATGCAGGTCTGCTTACAAACACTTTGCATGCAGATAAACTAGGTTTATATCGAAGAAGACCCTTTTTTGAGGGGACGGTGGAAGAGCATAAAGCAAAACTAGAAGAAGGACAAAAGGTAACATTGTGGCTGTTATGAATTGAATTGTGTCCCCAAAAAATGTGTGTCAACTTGGCTAGGCCATGATTCCCAGTATTGTGTGTGATCACCCACCATTTTTTCATCTGGTGTGATTTTCCTGTGTGTTGTAAATCCTACCTCTATGATGTTAATGAGGCAGGATTAGAGGCAGTTATGTTCATGAGGCAGGACTCAGTCTACTAGATTAGGCTGTATCTTGAGTCAGTCTCTTTTGAGATATAAAAGAGAGAAGTGAGCAGAGAGTCGGGGGACCTCATTACCTCCAAGCGAGAAAAGCCAGGAGCGCGTGCCCTTTTGACCCAGGGTCACTGCACTGAGAAGCTCCTAGACCAGCGGAAGATTGATGACAGGGACCTTCCCCCAGAGCCCAGAGAGAGAAAGCCTTCCCCTGGAGCTGGCATCCTGAATTCAGACTTCTAACCTCCTAGCCTGTGAGAGGATAAATTTCTGTTTGTTAAAGCCATCCACTTGCAATATTTTTGTTATAGCAGCACTAGATAACTAAGACAGTGGCCTACAGAATCACAAAACGAGTCTGTTTGTAGCTGGGATAATTCAGCTTCTGACATAGCTGTAAATGTGGGGCTGCAGGTCAAAGGCTTTGAAAAGAGTTCCCCTTTGCCTCTCTCTTCTATTGCATATGCCAACTACTCACATTCCCAAGTGGCTTCCCAAAGGCCTTAGAGCTTTGAGAACCTGCATGAGAAACTCTGTATGAGTTTCCTGGGGCTGTCATAACAAAGTATCACAAAGTGGATGTCTCACAGTTCTGCAGGCTAGCTGCCCAAATCAGTGTGTCTGCCAGGCCATGCTCCGCCTGAAGTTTCTAGAGGAAGATCTTTTCTTGTCTTTCCCAGCTGCTGGGAGTCCCAGGCATTCCTTGGTTTGTAGATGCATCTTCACATGGCTAACTTTCCTCTCTCTGTGTCTCTGTGTCTATTCTTTTTTATAAGGACACCACTCAAATTGGATTAGCACTCACTCTACTCCAGTATGACCTTATGTTAACTGACAACATCTTCAAAGAACCTGTTTTCCAGACAAGGTCATGTTCACAATACCAAGGGTTAGGACTTCAATATGTCATTTTGGGAGACTCAGTTCAATCCATAACACTCTCCTTTTTCCTATACCCACACCTGCTATTTCAAGAGTCAACTCCAAGGACATTCTGATCCCCATAAATCACAAGGTGGGATTTTTCAGCCGCCCACCACAGCATACTGAGAAGGGCCACCCCTGACACTCCCAAGCCACCAAAGGCCAGAGGCCCCATTGGTCACATCCTCCACCTCTGTCATACACATTTCATTTGCAGAGAAGATCCCTAAGTTTTGCTCACAACCCAACCTGTGTCCCAGTTGATGCCATTTTCACAGAGGAGAATGAGCAAAGAATTAAAAGACCGGGCAGTTGCCACCTGGTGGGATTCATACAAACACACATAGTTCTCAGAATCCTTTTTCTCAAGTCCAACTTTCATCATCTGCTGTTAAAAATTTAATGACTTCCATAGACTCATGAAATTTATAACTTTTTTAATTGAAAAGACTAATATTTTTATAACATATGTTTTAAAATTTATAATCCCATTTCCAAAGTTGTATGATAATTTTTTTAAATTTTGGAATTACTTTCCACATGCATGCATAATTTACATAGTTGATTTGTACCCAGTATTTTGGATTATTCTATTGTCTCTTACCCATATTCCTAAACATGTAAATTTGGGGCTTCAGGTCAAAGGCTTTGAAAAAGAGTTCCTAAACATAAGCATTTTCCAGATTTCTGTATTCTGAATATTCTTTTTTATGTCACTTAAAATTATTTTATACTTATTAAAAGAGATAATTCAGACTTGAGATATTTGTCATATTTGTCATATTTTGTACACATATAAAAAGGAAAATATATCTGAAATGAATTGGCTAAGGTATTTCTAAGGCAGTGACAATGACATCACAACTGCCACTCGCAATTTAATTGATTTCAGAGATGTTAAAAAAAAATAATAATAAACTCCTATGGACACACTTTTGCTTAAGAAACAGAACAATTCCCACCCTGTTGAAGCCCCTTCTGTGCACCTTCTAGAGTGTTTCTCCCTTCTTTCCACCCCATAGATACTCACTGTGAATTTTATCACCCCCGTATTTTTCTCTACACACTTAGCAAATATATACCCCAAGCATATGTATTTTTCTGACCTGCTTTTTTATGCAACATTATATGAGAGTCACCTACGCTAACATGTTCAGCTGCTACTCATTTTTACTGTTGTGTGATATGCACTGTATGCATATACCACAATTTATCAATTCTCCTGTTTGATGAGTATCTGGGCTGTTTCCAGGGTTTTGCTAGTACAAATTGTTTGACAATAAACATTCTCCTAGTTGTCTCCTAGGTATATACCAAGCAGGGGATTTGCTAAGATTAGATCAGGAGTCAGCAAACTTTTTCTGTAAAGGCGAGATGGTATACATTTTAGACTTTGCAGACCATATAATCTCTATGGCAACTACTCAACCCTGTCATTTTAGTGTGAAAGTAATCATAGAAACTATGGGCATGGCTATGTTGCAATAAAACTTTATTTACAAAAATAGACCAGCTGGGCAAGAATGGCCATCAGGCTGTGGTCTGCCAGTTCTTTGGTCTACGTGATAAAACCCCAAACCAAATCTGTTGCCTTCCAGTCAATTCTGACTCATAGCGACCCTATAGGACAGAATAAAACTGCCCTGTAGGGTTTCTAAGGAGTGGCTGGTGGATTTTAACTGCCAACCTTTTGGTTAGTAGCCATGCCCTTAACCACTGTGCCACCAGGGCTCCAGACTTTCCTGTTCTGATTGCCTACAAATATTGAATATCACCTGAATATCCCTCCCTTGAATATTACCTGAGGAACACGAGACCTGTCTTTGCTAAGTCTATGGAGTCGACTGAGCGTCCACATTCAGGGACCTTCAGGGAGGGGGTTAGAAATGGGATGGGGAGACGCTGGTGGTGGTGGGAGCCAAAGGCAGAAAGGGTACCCACACTGGCTTTGCTGGGCATGGGCGGGAGGGGGTACGCTGCTTAACTGGAGACTGAGGTCTCAGGCTGCAGCACCGTTGACATCACAGAAGCCACTGTGAGGTCATTACCAGTCTGTGGGACATAAAAAACCAAACAAAATAATGTTTTATTTGGCATTGTATGGCTTTATTATTTATTTAAACTGCAGTAACAAAAGCTGGAATTGGCTCCCTGGGGATGCTTCCCCGAGCCCTGGCCTCCACTGCAGCTTCCTGCTCTGGCTCCTATTTAAATAGCTTTGGCTTCAAAGGTTATTGTCTCCATGGTCTCAGATGTCATAGTCCCTGTGATCTCCAGGTCCTGGCCATCCTGTGCTTTCTCCATCTTGGCTTCGATGTTGCGCCTCTCCACAGTCTTAGCCACGATGTCCACTCCTCTGTCGTGGGGTGCCGTCGCTGTTCTCGAAGCAGGGATAGCTCTGAAGCTCCTAAAGAAAGAGCCAATCCTGCTGGATTTCTTACCTACAGAAGCTGAGCTAGCTGCAGATCGGGTCCGCTCCGGTTTGTGAGTTGTCCTAGATTCCTTTGGGGTGGGACTGTGGCTTGCACTTTTGTGAGAGGAGGACCTGTGTCCTTTGCCCTTTATATTGCTGTGGCCTTTTTCTTTTTTGTCCTCTCTCGTGGTTCTACGGCTGGCTAAGGACCGGTGGGAGGATGATTTCCGGGTTGACTTGTTCCCACCTGTCCTGTGGTGATGGGAACTTTTCCTAGTGACATTTTTGTCCTTCTTTGCTCTTTCCTTTTTTTCCTTCCGGGCTTCAGCACTGGGCTGGGACACCCTCTGGCTTCCATCCCGCTCACTCATGTACCCTTCACTCTGCAAAGTTGAGACGAGCGGTCCTCCAGCACTTTCTGCGACGGGCTTGTTGGTAGCGGCTACTCCTGCAAACACTACGCTCATGCTGCTCTCTGGGGAGAGATTGGAAGCCGCTGTCGATACAGTGGAACTACCCTGTGTGGTTGTGCTTGCAGCGCCCACCAGGACCACGTTAACACCCTCTGAGGACATGTTGGCAGCACCTGCTATGGCCTTGCTGGATCCAGTTTCTCCTGGATCCTTGGTGGCCACTCCTGCTAGGGCCGCACTTGCCTGTCCTGGGCCTGAAGACTTGGTGATCGCGATGCTCATAGTGCTTGCTGTACGGCCTGCTGTCCCTGCTGCTGCTGCGCTTGCTGTACGGCCTGCAGCTGTCCCTGCTATTGCTGTGCCTGCTGCGGGGCCTGCTGCAGGACTTGTTGCTGCCCCTGCCATTGCTGCTCCTGCTGTGGAACCTACTGCTGCCCCTGCCATTGCTCCTCCTGCTGTGGGGCCTGCTGCTGCCCCAGCCATTGCTGCTCCCATGGCAGGCCCTGGAGCTTTCGTGGCTGCAGGAGGTGTACGAGGCGTGCCATGGAAGGCTTGTTGGATTCCCTCTCCCCCCGCGTAAGCAGAAGAGGTGGCTCCAGACACCTCGCGGAGCTTGCGAAGCCTGACCTCATCCTGATCGCCTTCTCCACGGAGCTCTGCAGTCTGTGCCAACAGGAGGAGAAACAGGTGAAATAGAGAAGATGGAAAATGAGACCAGAATTGCCACTCCTCTTTTCATCCTGGAGCTGAGCAACTCCAGGGCTTACAATTAGAAGAAACTTTGAGATCATCAAGTCAAAGCTCCCATTTGATACAAGAATCCTGTCTACAGCACCTCCTGTCAAATGGCCACTCAGTGTTGCTTGAACAATGCCAGTGCCAGGGAAAGCACTAATTCAGTTTCCCATCCTTGTACACGTTTTTGGAAACCCTGGTGGCGTAGTGGTTAAGAGCTACGGCTGCTAACCAAAAAGGTCGGCAGTTCAAATCCACCAGACGCTCCTTGGAAACCCTATGGGGCAGTTCTGCTCTGTCCTGTAGGGTCACTAAGAGTCGGAATCGACTCGAAGGCATCGAGTTTTGTACACTTTTATTTTAAACACTTGTGCTTATATCTCTGCAAAACAGATTCTTAGGAGTGGAACTGCTGAGTCTAGGGATGTACATATTTTACATTTTGGTGTCTACTAACAAAGTGTGCACATTCACCATTGCTTGTGCACACGTGGGTTATACAGATTTCCATAAAAATCAGCACATGGCAGTCGTAGGGTGGCAGATAACAGCTCAAATGAAGAAAGGACTTCCTCATTGTTAAAAATATTCCACAATAGATGAGCCTCCTTGGGCTAGGATAGTAAGTGTTCAAACAGATTGGACAACCAGGATGCAGTAGAGGGGATAGCAGCCCTAGGGATGAGACCAGAGCAGCTGATACTTAGGGGCTGTCTGAAATTAAGCCTGCGGAACACTTTGGAGAAGCACTCAGAAACTCCCCAGCGTGGGAAGTCCCTTAGTGGTGCCTCGTTTGATGCTGAAAACCAAAATCCACACCCGTTGCTGTTGGGTCAATTGCAACTCATGACAACCCCATGTGTTAGAGTAGAACTGCTTCATGGCATTTTCCTGGCTGTAATCTTTATGGCCTGTGGCTGTCCCTGCTATTGCAGCTTGCCAGGCCTTTCTTCCATGGCACCACTGAGTGGGTTCCAACTGCCAAACTTTAGTAGTTGAGGGCAAACCATGGGTACCACCCAGGGACCTATTTAGCCCCAAGCCCTTTCAAATGCAACACATTTCTCAGCTGAGCCTCAGAGAGCTCCAAAGGCTTTGTAGGACTAGCTTTTAGCTGCTCTACCAAAGAACACTATTCCTTTTTTTTTTTTTTTGTCCCTGGAAATACTTACCGTTGTGCTTTTGTCGTCTTCTGTCAAACACACAGAAGTGGTAGTTAGATCCTCAGTCTGGAGGGTTGGGGTGCTGGTATAGCTCTCCACTGGTGGTCTCAGGAGATAGACTAGTTTTTCCCAATAGCAGAAGAGGTCTTCTCGGGCGTCTGAGGAGGGACATAGCTGCAGGTAGAAAGTACGGCCAGTGGCAAGTTTCAGACGCAACTGCTGTTTCTCGCGATCATGGATGGAGATCTTGACAAACTTCAAGGGAAGGAGCCTGGTGAGCTCTAAGGTCTTTGTGGCCTTGCGGCCTCTCCCCTTGGTGGGCCGGCCATACCCTGCATGCTCCTCACAGACTCTAGCTGGCCGGGCCAGCAACATGACATCAGGCAGGGGGAGGATGGGGCTGGTGGATGCGATGCCCACGGTCACCATTCGGACACGGTTGTGTACATCAATCACCTCTCCTTTTTTGCTGATCTGGATAAAGTCGCTCTCAAACATCGGTGCGTACTTGAAAATGTCATACTCTCCTCCCTTGTACAGCTGGCGTTGCAGGTCCCCCATGGAGGTATTGAACACACCTGTTGAGCGGTAACTGTGGGCGGTGTAATAAGGTAACACACATTCATTGCTCATGGTTCTTTTCTTTCAAGACAGCTCCACCAGCCACAAATCGTGTCCCCGAGAGAGAGAGCAAAGGCCACTGCCCATCTCCCTCCAGGGCTCATGTCTAAATCCCCTGGCCCTACTGCATTTATCCTCCACTGTCCTTTATGACCTCTCACCATCACATACCCCTTTGTCTTAACCTCCAAATAGCCACCTCCTCAGGGCAAGGCCACCAGCCCCCACCCCCCCAACCAAATACCTGCCCAGGTGTAGGTGTGGGTGGACAGGCTGTTCTTTTAAATCAATACGTTGGGATGCACACTTTATGAAACCATTCTGCCTTTGTAAATGTCTGGGTTATTTCCAGTTTTTTGTTGTTGTTGTTACAGATATCCCTGCAGTGATCATCTTCCTGCAGATATTCTGAAAATCGTCTTCCTGAAAATTCTGCTGAATTACTTCCTGGGAATAAATTGCTAGAAGTAGACCATGTGCTTGCTAAGGACTGGAGTGGTGTCTAGAATGTTGTTCTCTGTGTCCCTAGTATATAGCACAATGCTGGCAGGCATGCAGAAGTAGCTGTTGAATGAATGGTACAGTTGGGCTTCTGCTACATATCAGAACCAGACTTCCATCAGCACAGTGAGTTCCAGGATCTGGAGGATTTTCCCACCCATTTTCTCATTTGAGGGAGGTTAATTTAAAAAAAAAAAAAAGGCAAAAATCATAATTACATGGTGAGGAAACTGAGGCTCAGCATTAAGAGTCTCACTCAGGATCAAAGTGTTAGAGTCTAGTCCAGGTCTAATAACACAGGTCAGGGCTTTTTCTCTGCCACCAGCTGCCTGGCTTACCATTATATTCTCATTCTACACCAAATATAGATACGTTAGCAGTTAGCAGTGTGTGTGGGGACTTACAGGGAACCACAGAGATTAGTAGAGGTTGTGAATCACCATAGGATTTCCCACACTGGCATATCAGATGCATCTCTCTTGATATCCACCTGATAAGCCACTGACATTTTATTTCTTTGAGAAGCTCTTTAGAGAAATTATGGCAAAGACACGTTTTTGGAGTTTTTTTTTTTTTTTTTTTTCACTTGACGCAAGGTGATGAATCCAAATTCCCCCTCCTCCGGTTAGAAAACTACTTCTGAAACAAAAACACATCTCCTAAACTTAAAAATTACTGTGTGGAGATCTTAAAAGAAACTTCAATCCCAAAACGTTCTTTTTTATATTCCTAGAGTCTACTTCAGTGCCAGGCACATCGAAGCTTTTCAATAAATATGAACCCACTTGTGCTCATGGAGATTCATTTTTTATTTATTCAACAAAATTTACTGAGCAAGTAGCTTATTCCTGAGTGATTACAAAATGGAAATGCAAAGATAAAGGTTCCTACCTCTGAAGAGCTAAAATATTTTTTTCTGAAGGTATTGAAATACCTTTTCCAAAAAATGAACACAGTAGCTTATATTCTATTAAAAAGGGATAATCCCTAAATGTCAACACTATTAAGTTTAATAATATGTCTAGAGGACAATAAAATTGTATCCTTTGGGGTTATCTTTTCTACTAAACAGAAATTATTGGCATCTATTCCAAATGAAAACATGTTGTTGTTATTGTTATGTGCCTTCGAGTCAGTTCCCACTCATAGCGACCCGCATGCACAACGGAACGGAACACTTCCCAGTCTGGTGCCATCCTCACAATCGTTGCTATGTTTGAGCCCATTGTTGCAGCCACTGTGTCAGTTCATCTCATTGAGAGTCTTCCTCTTTTTCGCTGACCCTCTACTTTACCAGCATGATGTCCTTATCCAGGGACTGGTCCCTCCTGATAACATGTTTAAAATAGACATGTCTGAAATAGACAAAGTCTCACCATCCTCACATCTGAGGAGCATTGTGGCTGTACTTCTTCCAAGACAGATTTGTTCGTTCTTCTGCAGTCCATAGTATATTCAGTATTCTTCACCAACATCATAATTCAAAGGCATCAATTCTTCTTTCGTCTTCCTTATTCATTGTCCAGCTTTCGTGTGCATATGAGGCAATTGAAAACACCGTGGCTTGGGTCGGCACACTTTAGTCCTCAGAGTGAAATCTTTGCTTTTTAACACTTTAAAGAGGTCTTTTGCAGTAGATTTGCCCAATGCAGTATGTCGTTTGATTTCTTGACTGCTGCTTCCATGGGCATTGATTGTGGATCCAAATAAAATGAAATCCTTGACAACTGCAATCATTTCTCCATTATCATGATATTGCTTATTGGTCAAGTTGTGAGGATTTTCGTTTTCTTTATGGTGTGGTGTGATCCATACTGAAGGCTGTAGTCTTTGATCTTCATCAGTTAGTGCTTCAAGTCCTCTTCACTTTCAGCAAGCAATGTTGTGTCATCTGTGTATCACAGGTTGATAAATGAGTGCCTTCCAACCAAAGGGACTCATCTTCCGGCACTATACCAGACAATGTTCTGCTGCTATTCATAAGGTTTCCACTGGCCAATTTTTTTAGAAGTAGATTGCCAGGTCCTTCTTCCTAGCCTGTTTTAGTCTGGAAGCTCTACTGAAATCTGTCCACCATGGATGTCCTTGCTGGTATTTGAAATACCAGTGGCATAGCTTCCAGGATCACAGCAACACACAAACCACCACAGTATGGCAAACTGACAGACAAGCGGTGGAATGAAAATCTACAAGTTATTATGGAACTTCACAAAGCCTGATCTTTAACCTGTAATAGATAGCTTTTTGGAGTGTTGAAAATGTTCTAAAATTACATTGTGATGGTTGCAGTTATTCTGTGAATATACTAAAAACCACTGAACTGTACCCTTTAAATGGATTCATTTTATGCTATGTGAAATATATGTCAATAAAGCTGTTAAAAGTAATAGATAGCAATACTTCAGTCCTACCTAACTGATCAAATCTCATTGACTTCCTTCACTTCCTTAGGTAGTTAAATAATCCTTGAGTGGGCCTATTAATGTTTTAATGTAACATTGAAAGTACATATTGCCTGCTTTTAGCCTTATTTACAAGTTTTGGAAATTTTTTTTTCTTAACAAGGAATATGGCGGCAGATGTATAAGCCAGGATGCTAACTTCCAAGAGTTTATAATAGAACACACACTGAAGAAACCGAGAACAGAACAGAAGGGCAAATAAATACAAGATAGAGTAACAGTGAACAACTTGAGTGAATGGTAGCCTAATAATCCTTATCACTATATTTAAAACCAACAATAATTGTTTTGTGATGTTGGTCTGTGGTTAAAAAGACTTAATTCTAGATAGTGAAAACACAAAACTTTGTATATGATGTACTGATACATGTAGACATGCAAGATTAGAGATGGTTGAAATATAAACATTTCTTATGGGAAGAAGTCTTAAGTCAACTAGTATTTTGAAAAGCAAGGCAAGAGGGCAGCTATTTATAGCCTTTTCAAGCACCTGCAGGACATGGTGAGCTAGGTAGGATGCGAGGGTGGGGAGATTTCCATACTGTACACAACATGTGCCTGCTGGGTAAATCCCCTGGCCTAAAGCACAATCCACAGTACTTTTATGTCGATGCCGCTAAACCAGGGGGCAAGGTGGCATGGCGTGGGAGGAGCTGCAGCTAGCCGTAGGCACTAAGAGCTTCAGAAAGTCGTGATTTCAGCCTTACCTTCTGGCTGTCAGAAAAGACCACTATCACCCAGACTTCCCCTGAGGGCTGGTATGCAAATCACCTTGCCTCTGCCTTAGATTTCAAAAAGAAGATGAAGTAGTATACATAAAAGAAACCAGAGAGGCGATCGCAGTAATTTTATTTCTCAGCGTTATTTATGAGCCAACTAGCCTCACCTCTCTTCCCTTTCCTCTGGCTTTCTGTCCCCTTCTTGCTTTTAAGTAGGCATGTTGAGCTCCACTCTAGAGCCAAAACTGTCCTGCTCCTCACAGGCTATTTCTTTCTCTCAGCTTTCTATTCTGCTGTGTTTATAAGCCATGAGATATCTCACCTCAGTTTATGTATTTATTTCTTTGATGTTGTACTGAAGAGGCTTGCAATTAAATTAAATACACAAATAATAAAGGAAACATTAAAGATAAAAATGAAGATCAGAAAATGTGTAGACAGAAGTAACTGATGCAGGAACTGGGATGATTATTGCAATTAGATATTAAATTTAACTCTGAAAAAAATACTGGAAAAAAGTAAAATAAATGTTAACAGAGATTATCTCCGAGGGGTGAGATTAGAAGTGATTTTTATTTTTGTCTGTTTGCTTCTCTGCTTTTGTGTGTGTGTGTGCGCGCGCACGTGCACTTTAGGTGAAAGTTTACAGAGCAAATTAGTTTCTCATTCGACAATTTATACACAAACTATTTTTTGACATTGATTGCCAACCCCACGATACATCAACACTCTCCCCTTCTCCACCCCAAATTCTCTGTTTCCATTAGTCCCCTTCTCCTGTCCCTTCCTGCCTTCTGGCTTTGCTTTTGGGTGGGTGTTGTCCGTTTGGTCTTATTTACATAACTGAGCTAAGAAGCACATTCCTCACATGTGTTATTGTTTGTTTTATAGACCTATGTAATCTTTGGCTGAAGGGTGAACTTTGGAGTGACTTCAGTTCTAAGTTAACAGGGTGTCTGGGGGCCATAGTCTCAGGTTTCCTCAAGTCTCTGTCAGACCAGTAAGTCTGGTCTTTTTTGTGAATTTGAATTTTGTTCTACGTTTTTCTGCCGCTCTGTCTGGGACCCTCTACAGTGATCCCTGTCAGAGTTGTCGGTGGTGGTAGCCGGGCACCATCTAGTTATTCTGGGCCCAGGCTGGTGGAGGCTCTGGTACTTGTGGTCCATTAGTCCTTTGACTAACATTCCCCTTGTGTCTTTGGTTTTCTTAATTCTCCTTTGCTTTAGATGGGATGGGACTGGTAGATGTATATTAGATGGCCGCGTGAAAGCTTTCAAAGACCCCAGACACTACTCACCAAAGTCAGATGTAGAACATTTTCTTTATGAAC